AGACCACATTGTAATCCACACAACACTGAGTGCCTAAATCACTGTCTTTCAAGTTTAAAGCCTGCAGGATGTTGACTTGTGCCTTCAACAAATCCATCCCTGTTACTGCCTACTGGCCTTTCAAGCACCAGTTTAAAGTTAAATGGGGTTGCAGCTCCCTCCAGTGTAAAGTGATGGACAGCAGTGAAATGATTACCTTAAAACCTGCCTTGAGTCTAGACAAAATGCCCCCGAGCAGCCCTAAAAGAAGTCAGGCGGATACATATTTCCAAGTAATAATGTTTTCGTTAAGGCTCTGTGTGCTTTTCTGCTGGATTCGGGTCGGAGTTATAACTCAAAATCAGATTACGTTAGCGACACATTTTCTTTCGGAAAGTCTATTCTTATTTTAGCTTTCATTTCATATTTCCCCTGCTGGATTATGTCCTTCTGCCCGATGGATTTGACCGGTTATCTCGAAATCAGTGGTCTGGGATTTCAATAAGTGCCTCTGATTGGAACACAAGGAGGTCCTGCCTGTGGCAACTGAGGCCGACTGGAGACCGAGAAACTGTGCTCAATTCAATTTACCACATTGATTACATTCATTGCTGCCAAGGTTAGTCTGTAACCCCATCTAATAAAGTGGCCGTGTCAGTGGCCTTGTGTTTACCTGTCTGCACAGGTAATGGTATTTTATTAGTATTCACAACAGAGAGCTGGGAAAATATTATATTCACCTGTGTTGGTGGATATTTTTGTATTCAATGCAAATTGTGGACAAACCTGCATTTATTTTTTTATGACGGTTGCAAAATGAATTTCAGTCGTACATTTCTAAATTGTACTTCGGGAATGCAACTTTACAACAACTGTATTTTTCTGATTGGTAATGTTTCTTTTTTGTTTAGCGTGGTGGAACAACACAGGAAAGTTTAATATGTTTAAAATATGAGAAAAAATTACTGTAGCTTTGATGAAAAGTCAACATGGTATAGTAATTCCAAAATATCAGAAAACAATATGTAGTATAATATGTTGAAACATCTACAACATGGACATGGTATGATATGTCAAAGCCATGTCACCTTGTTACGCAATGACAACAAATTATCCTTGAATTATTTAATTATTGGCCATATCTTTACAAATAATAAACTGAATAATTGTATTTTTTATTGTAATAAGAAACAGTGCAGCATGACATTGAGAATTCATTGATTGAATGTGTCCATTCTATTTATATAAGAAAGTTGACTAAATATTAGACCCCCCCCTTGGTATGACGCAATTCAACTTTACCACAAACTACAGCCTTTAAAATGACAATAAAGTAGAGCGTTTCCAGCTTTAATATGTTCATAATAACAGTTATTCAGATACACTGCATTGAATAATTGAAAGGCCTGCGTATTAGAATGTATTACCTATAAATATATGAATATGATGAAATAATAATGTAGAGTATAATGCACTTTTAATGACCATTTACAGATAAATCCATTATCAATCAATGATGCTTTACATCAATCAATCAATGTTTATTTATATAGCCCAATATCACAAATGTTACATTTGTCTCAGTGGTCTTCACAGTTTGTACAGAATATCAGTATGACAATACGACAGCCTCTGTCCTTTGACCCTCACATCGTACAAGGAAAAACTTCCGGAGAAAACCCACAGTTTAAAGGGAAAAATGGGAGAAACCTCAGGGAGAGCAACAGAGGAGGGATCCCTCTCCCAGGACGGACAGCCGTGCAATAGATGCCGTGTGTAAATCGAAGAGATAATACATTTGCAACATAGGTAGTCCAAATGTTTGGAAATGCATGTGTGTATAATAGGAAGATGAATCCACGAGGATATCCATCCAGGACTTATGATCTAGGACCACAGCCACGACTCAAGATCCAGGGCTCACGATCCAGGACACAGGATTATCCATGACTCTGGATCCCGGCGTATATAGACACCAAAAAGAAAGACATTTGGGGAAGCTGGGTTAATCAGAACATGTACACAGGTATAGACAGAGAGAAGGAAGAAGTAAGATGTCCCCCGACAAACTAAGCCTATATCAGCAAAACTAGGGGCTGAATCTAATCAGCCCTAACTATAAGCTTTATCAAAAAGGAAGGTCTTAAAAACGGATAGGGTGTCTGCCGCCGAACACAAACTGGAAGCTGATTCCACAAATGTGGAGCTTGATAAGAAAAGGCTCTGGCTCCCATTGTACTTTTAGAGACTCTAGGAACAACCAACAACCCTGCATTCTTGGAACGCAATGCCCTAGTAGGACAGTAGGGTATAATGAGTTCTTTAAGGTAAGATGGCGCCTGCCCATTAAGGGCTTTGTAGGTGAGAAGAAGAATTTTTAATTCTATCCTGTGTTCTATAGGGAGCCAGTGTAAGGCAGCCAGAACAGGAGTAATGCGGTCCCTGTTCCTAACTCTGGTTAGTACACGAGCTGCAGCATTTTGAATCAGCTGAAGCGACTTGACTGACTTCTTGGTACACCCTGATAATAAGGAGTTACAATAATCCAGCCTTGAAGTAACAAATGCATGGACTAGTTTCTCTGCATCGTTTTGAGGCAAGATATGCCTGATTTTTGCAATGTTACGTAGATGGAAGTAGGCAGTCCTTGAAATTGATTTTATGTGGGTGTTAAAGGATAAATCCTGATCAAATATAACACCAAGATTCCTTACAGTCTCACTGGAGGCCAAATTAATGCCATCCATAGTTAGTATATCTTTAGATAATTTGTTTCGTAGATTCTTCGGGCCAAGTACAATAACTTCAGTTTTGGTCGTGTTTAACATCAAAAAGTTTAAGGTCATCCACGTTTTTAAGTCCTTGAGGCAGTCTTGAATTTTATTTAGATGATTAATTTCATCAGGCTTGATTGATAATTATAGTTGAGTATCATCCGCATTACCATGAACATTTTCAGAATGATTCCTTATAATATTGCCTAATGGAAGCATATATAATGTGAACAAAATAGGTCCGAGCACTGAGCCCTGTGGCACTCCATGGCTAACGTTGGTTTGCGTGGAAGATTCATCGTTGACACGTACAAACTGAGAGCGTTCAGATAGATAGGACCTAAACCAGTCTAAAGCAGTTCCCTGTATGCCAACTAAGTGCTCTAGTCTTTGCAATAAGATATCATGGTCGATAGTATCAAATGCAGCACTGAGATCGAGCAAAACAAGAATAGAGACAAGTCCCTTGTCTGAGGCTATTAGAATGTCATTTGTGACTTTAACCAGAGCTGTCTCTGTGCTATGATGTGTTCTAAAGCCAGACTGAACAAATTCAAATAAATCATTGTTTTTTAAGTAATCACACAACTGTTTTGCGACCGCTTTCTCAAGAATATTTTAGAGAAACGGAAGATTAGAAATAGGTCTATAGTTGGCTAAAACCTCTGGATCGAGGTTGTGCTTTTTAAGAAGCGGTTTTTATCACTGCTACTTTGAATGATTGTGGAACATAGCCTGATAATTATGTATCCATTATGCATTTTTACAATACAAATAGTGAAGCAGAGTCATTATGAGATGTATTTTAATATAATCAAAATAAAATGATTACAACTAAAAATGTATTTCATTGAATTGAAATGTTTTTAGGTATTTTATCAATTAAGTACATTTTAGGGAATTCCCCCCTATCAAAATGCTCTATCTTCCCCACATGATTTGAATATTCAAGTATTTACTACATTAATTATTTGAGTTGGTGTATTGGGGTACGCATTATTCATATTTGTAATTTGTTTGTGCACTCTCATATTGCTTTTACTTTGTTGCTATTGTCATCTCCTTTGTGATATCAGCTCTGAAGGTGCTATAAAACATGAATTCCCTCACTGTTTATCATTCTCATGCATGCTTGCCAAGGATCTTACATGATAGATCAGCTGGCCTTTAAAGGTTACTAGCACAAGCATTCCATATCTTCCAAAGGAACCTAATGAAGCCTCAACAGCCACTTAACGCTTCATCACATCAAGAAGGATCTAGTTGGGGATACTTGTGCCTCCTGGCTTAAAGAATGCCGATACTTGAGGTTGTGATGGCATTTGTCATGATGTAATGACATTTTTAAAGGTGGCAATGAACTGAGAAAGGAAACCAATGTTGCCCAAAGTAACCTTTTCTTTCAGGGTTCTTTTTAGACTGACATTTCAAGAGATCCTGGGATGATGGGTTGGAGGTGGGAAGGTTGGGATTCTGGCACTTGAACGCTGAATCCTGAGCTATTTGGAAGCTGAAGAAAGGGACTTTCCTGTTTTTCTGAGATTCAATACAAAAATTGAAACGTAAGCCCATTTTGAACGTGTTTTTGGTTAAATGCGTGACATAAGAAATGTGGTTTGCACAAGCTAAAGCTATACAATTACCTTACTCGTGAAATTCTAAAGCTTCTGGTTCTTAAATATGAGACGCCATTAGTTTAGCGGTAGTGACGTGAATTATAGCTAATGTGATGTAATTTGCTTATAGCCTAGAAACATTTTTGTTCGGACACAAATTGTTTATACCCCACTCGTGAATGTCTGAAACTTCTGTGACTTGTAAAAACAGAGGTTGCTAACAAGAGACTAAATTAAATTGTCATCATTTCAAACATTAGCTGTTTTTAGCTTAGCGCTGACGACAGGGGTCATCTGACTGTCATGGAGTTTGTTTACGTTAGCTTTTTACTTCTTGTAATAGCATTTATGCATCAACAATTATAAAACTGTTAGGTGGAGATGTCCTGCTGAAAAACTGTAAGTATCATTAATGTTTGTTTGCCACCGAGCTTATTTTTGGCAATTTTCAATGGAAACAACCTGTTGCAGGAGCCCATGCAACGCTAACTTCCAGTTGGACATAAAGAAGATATCCTACCTGCAACACTCTATTCAGTCTCCTTGAGTATTATTTTATTGTCTACAGTGGAAATGTAGACAATAAGGAAATATATATGATAATACAAGTATTACACAATTGAACAACTAGTAATTGCAAAACCAATGTTTTAATTATATTAACACACAAAGTGAATATGAGTCATGAAATACTTTTTTTAAAAGGTTGATTACGTGCAACAAGGAAAAAAAGAAGCATAAAACAGAGGTCTAACAATCTAATCATATGCAGGCAAATTAATAATAAATTAAAAGGCTTTCATGGCATTAAGGATTACAGCAACCAGCAGTGCTGTAGTAAAAGGGAGAGAAATGTACTCGTTTCCCTCGCATTTCAGGATTCCCTGACATTAAAGAAAAAAACGAAACTTTCTTTAGTAGAGTATGCAGCACTCTAAATCTCATTCACTATTAATCCCTCTTATTGTTTTGATAGATTCATGTTCTTCTGTGTGTTTTTACAAGTGGATCAAGTTCTGGGTATGTTATGGAAACATTTGGCACGTAGGATTGGATTTTTCTTTCTTCCAGATTGGATTTCGCAGAGTCTTTGCAGCGCAGTAAACATATGAACCAACAACAAATAAGACAAGAAAAGGAAAGAGGCACGTTCTCAAACAACAAATTTGTTCTTGGTGGTTGAACCACTTTTGCTAGATGTGTCTGCGTGAGATTGGAAGCCGATTGTCATCTTCATGGGAATCCCCAAGCGCTCTTTGTAAACTCTCCTGTTGACGGTAATGACACCGTTAGAGGATGTGAAAGATGCCTTCAGCTGCAGTTATGATTGTAAATACTTTAAAACTGTATACCAGCCTCACCCAATGTGTGTCACAGCCTCCCGGTTCTCGTAGTCCGCTGTCCACACAGCGAGTTTATCTCCTTTTGTGCGGATGTTGACCACGGCTCCGCAGACCTGATCGCTGTGGTCATCAAAGGCCTCTCCGACTAAGCACAGGAGCTGGTTTGAGGATAGGAAAAAAAAAAAAGTTTAAATCCCACCTTCGATTTGACTTGAACTATAAATTCTCCAATTTCTCATAAAGGAGCCTGGACCTGGGTAGTGTTAGCTTTCACCTTCATGACATTTACAAGAAAGCTTTTGCTGCCATTTCCTGCAATTCATGTTTTAAGTTCAGTACGGTAGTAACAAATGTGCTTCTTAAAGAGTTTATTACATGAAGAATTTCATTTTTAAGTACAAACTTATAGAATTGTTGGGAATATATAGCAAAATATAAACTATACAAATATAAAGTAACTCATTGTAACTATTTGAACAGAAATCATTGTATGCCTCACCCACTTTTCCCCTTTTTTCTTTTAAGAATTCTCATGTTTATTTCTTCCAAGATATTGCCTGGACCGTGGTAGAAAAATGTAACACCGTCTGCCTAGCGGTCTGCCATTGAGGCAGGAGGCTTATATCATATACTTATCAAATCTTACTAATCTAGTTAAGCATTTCTCACAAACACAAAATCCATGTAATAGAGAAGTACAGTGTGTCCTGGAAATGGGTAAGCATTTTACTACTTATTTTTTTGGTTGGAAGCCCGAAAGGAGGTCTATGCATGCTTAACACAAGCTTAAGCTTTTTCAGGTTTTGTTCTTTGACATAAAATGAACCGTCATTAGCCTAGCCGTGGTGACGTCGTGAAGACACAGGAACGTGATGTAGTTCGTTTATAGGCTAACTTTAGGACTAAATACCAAAATCCGGTGAGTTATCATTTTTGCAACAACCAGTTCTCGAATGTAACTGTTTTTGGTTAGATGCCTGAAATAAGGTCCGTCAACAAAAGCTTAAGATTTTTCATGTTTTGTTCTGTGACATAAAATACGTCAGTAAAAAACACTTTAAGTCATAAAAAATACAATTGCTAGTCTAAACGAGACTACTACACGTAATCGCAATATGTGTAATATGTTATGTAATATGTTCGATTTACACACGGCATCTATTGCACGTCTGTCCGTCCTGGGAGAGGGATCCCTCCTCTGTTGCTCTCCCTGAGGTTTCTCCCATTTTTCCCTTTAAACTGTGGGTTTTCTCCGGAAGTTTTTCCTTGTACGATGTGAGGGTCTAAGGACAGAGGGTGTCCTATTGTCATACTGATATTCTGTACAAACTGTGAAGACCACTGAGACAAATGTAACATTTGTGATATTGGGCTATATAAATAAACATTGATTGATTGATGTGAAGCGCTTTGAGCACTTGAAAAAGCGCTCTAACAAAAAATGTAATGAATTATTATTATTGCACCGAACGTTAGCCGCCTTAAGCTAAGCGGTGGTGACCTAAGTCATGTGACCGTGATGTAGTTTGTTTGCTTTTTACTTGTGGCAATTGCATTTACGCTTCAAAAATCATAAAAGTGATGTGAATATGCAGAGTTTATCCCGCTGAACAAAAAGTGATAGTATCAAAAAGTGTGGGGCCACATCAGGGCGCCTTTTTCTGCAATGTTCTGAAATCCAAATTAGAAATCCCATTGTATTTGGTCGAGGGAGCCCTATGCCATGATAAATCCCAGGTCATCACTGCACCGGTCAATATGCAGTTAGAGATCCATGCAACTGTTGAGACAATCATTACATTTCTTTTTTGTTTAAAGCTTTATACGAGAAATTTGAGTGTCATTAACAAACAACATTACCCCCTTCCCCCTAGAAACACCAGTGGTAAAAAGCAGTAAAATCAGTGCCGTGTGCAAACTGGCAGGTCACGGCTTTCTTGACGCCTGTATCACTGTCAGTGACCTTTAGGGCTAACACTGTGTGGACTGCAGACTTAGCAGCAAGCAGGCCAATTTTCAGCTGCTCTAGTTAGACTTTTCATCAGCTCAGCATAAAGTCAAGGCCACAGTATATCGTTTCTAGATCTTTGACTCACTGCAGGTATGACAGGATGTAATGATAGAAGTGGTATGTAGGTAACAAATGTACTTGAGGCTCAAGACATGAGTAATAGCATCACAGATTTAGTCAAACGTACAGTTTCCAGCCAGAAGCGGTCCAGGTCTAATCTCCTCTGCTGCTTGTTGAGGGTGAGGAGCCAGCGCCCGCCACGCTTGTTCCTCTCGTCCTCCCACATGGGTTCAATTCCATCCTGCAGCAAAGGTTCAAATTGTCAATACACATCCCAGGCCACTGCACCAAAACTTCAAAACAGCCTTTTTAGTGAGGTTTCAGCATGATCTCAGCACTACAGTAACTGCAAGAAATTCATATTTTACTCTTTAATAATCCCAACAGAAACTCTTAAAATGTGATAGCAGGTGTAATACTTAAAGTGTTTTTTCATCATTTCCGCTTAACATTCTGACCCACGCAGCAGGGTTTTGTAAAAAAGCTGCATTTTCTAAGAATACAATTAAAATGATACACGTTATGAACTTATGATAAACAAAGTCCCCTGCCGTGAATATAAGGTGATCTTCACCAGAGGTGATCATGCTAATGATTTCAATAAGAACACACTGATTACAGACTGCAGTGATGTTGACTACCTTCCCATTTATTATAATGTCTCACACGGTATAATTAGTGGCTGCAATTTAACTAGTAAACTAAATAATAGCCGAGTTTGACACGGAGAGAACATCGTGTCTACACTCCAGTAATGATGATGTTTATATTTCATCAAGTATTTTTTCCTTTTTATGTTGCGTTAGGTTTTCTCATTGCAATTACATTTGTATTTTAAAAAACTGCAACAACTTTGCACACTTGTAAAATGTACAAGGTATCCTTTGCGTGTTATTCTCTAGTAGCAGGTTGGGCTATAATAGTGTATTCTAACACATTCTGTATGTTTTTGTTGTCTATTCTGAGACTCAATGGATAAATATACATTTGAACTGTTGCTATTTATATATTGATTGTTTATATTTTATTTTTCATTTGTATGCAATGGCTAGTCAACATGACATAACATAACAACATAACATAACAATTCTCCAATTTGAGATCCATTAAGAATATATAATTTACATCATTTTGATGTTACAATCTTGTTTTGGGGGATTTCTTGTGAACTTGTGATAGGACAATTTGATTGGATGTTTTAATTAAACTATTCTCACAAGGATGTCAATTTGAAACTAAATGAATTGAATGTTGTTAGTTAGCTTGCAACATAACGTCTAATGATGTAAATGTAGTCTCTCCTATGGTCCTTTTAGTTTAATTGAGAAGAAATGGGGAGAAAACACTGCTATCAACCTACACTCAATGCAATGTAGACACTGGTGTGACATTTTAATTATCTAAGCACAAGAGAACGTATAGGCATAACAAAATATTTTAATGAGGACATATTCTGTTAGTGTCTCTACTGGGACGTGTCTCCATGCTTTAATGTTCAGAAAGCTCTTTATTTTTCTCATACTGCCTGTGCTGCAGCACCTCTTTTCACCCTCTGTCTGAAACCAGAGCCCATTCTGCTCTGATTGGTTAGCTGGCTGGCTCTGTTGTCATTGGTCAAGCACTTAGAGATGTCCCGCTCCCTTAGCCTATCACGTACAATGGGTTGGAGTGCTAGTCAATAGAGTGCCACAGTCCTAAAACCTGGAATCCGGTTCCTTCGACAAAAACGCAATGCAATTTCTCCATAGGATTTAGGAAAATAGCTGGAAATAAGGTCTGTGGTTGAGAGACATTTAAGAGACGGATCACGTTTTGTTCAGCCGGATAATATCCACATGTCTATCCTACTTTTATAATTTTCTAATCATAAATCTAGTCGCCAGACGCAAAATGCTAACGTTATGCTATAAAGCAGGGGTGGGGAACCTCCGGCCTCCGGGCCGTATACGGCCCGCGAGATAATTTGGTACGGCCCTCGAGGTAATTTATAAACACACGCAAAAAAGAAAAAAATGTAAGAAATCTAGACCGCAAAAAAAATAAACAAGCGAATGCCTGTTTTTCCTGGCCAAGGTCAGGTTCCTTGAACACAACACGAGCCTAACGTGTCATCACGTGGTATATGTCTCGACTGACAGGGTCGAGACAACCTGGGGAGTGTTCTGACAGAGAGCACCAGAACGTCACTCCGGCACTTCAGAAATTGCAGTACCGATAAGGAGCCGTACACATGCCGCAGTTTCTGCGTGGCTGTGTCTTTAGTTGAAAGCCCAGTGGCGATCTGTTCATCTGTCATACTGATCATACAGTCAATAACTTTGTTGTTATTAGCATCTGGTTAGCTAGCTATGCTAACGAATATAAGAAGCTTTTTCTCCAACCAGTGAGGTAAAGGTACATCTTTATATGATCATTATAGTTATAAAAAAATAAGAGAATAAAGTAAAACAGGTATAAAATATACGGAAGAGGATTAGGGCCACATAAAACATTTTTTTGTGAGGATTTGAAAAAAAAAAATTTTTTTTTTGTTCTGAGAAAAAAGTCAGAATTCTGACAAAAAAACATTTTTTTGAATAAATAAATATTTTTTTCAAATCCTCACACATTTTTTTTTTATGTGGCCCTAATCCTCTTCCGTAAAAATACTATATGACAGTAAAAAAAAGTTGTTATTAATAAAGAAGAATACAGTTTGAAAGGGGAGTGATTTGTCAAATATCCATAAAGAAAAATAAATCTGTTTACAGTTCTGTTTCATATGGGTGTTGAGAGATGTATCCATAGATCTCCTAATTTTGCTCTCAAAGTGCACCAGATTGATGCTTTTAACTTCAACATTTTAAAAAAAACCTTCCCGGGGGAGCATGCCCCCCGGACCCCCCAAGAGGAGGTTAGGTCCCCCCCCCACTTAAATCAAGTTCACATGGATAGGAAACTAAATACATTTGCACACATCTTGTTTCCATATCTTTCTGTTTTGGTGGTCATGCCACACCGTGCATGCATACGCGAGTCATGGTGAGATATCTGGATTCAGAGGTTGCTTTTTCTTTGCACAGAATGAAATGAATGGGCTGTGATTTTAGTTTTTTTAAGCAGAGGTCAATAATTTGTACGGCCCTCTGAGGATATTGTAAAAATTGAAATGGCCCTTGAGAGGAAAAAGGTTCCCCACCCCTGCTATAAAGGAACTACAGCAGGGTCGCTGCTTCAACGCCACGCCAACTTAAGATCGATATTCAAAAATACAGATTCTAAATTGTTCAAGTTGAAGCGTTTGTTTGAACAGTTTGCAGGAGGCAGGAACTTGCTTTCAAGCAGAACAGGGCAAACAAACTTAGCGGGAGTGTTTACGTGTTCGGCGTAATGACGTACAACGGCCTCGACAACTTCTGTAGTCCTATTCAGCCACTTGGTAACAACCATCGTTTTTCAGACACGTAAACTCTTCAGAAATCACCAGTGTCGTAGAACAAAACGTGATCCGTCTCTTCAATGTGTGTCAAACACAGACCTTATTTCCAGCTATTTTCCAAATCCTATGGAGAAATTGCTTTGATATTTGGCGAAGGAACTGGAAATGGTAAAATGCTAACTTACTTCCGGGTTTTAGGACGCGTCACTGTGGCACTCTATAGAAGCGCGGGTGTTACATATTGATGTCACTATGTTACGGAAGTAAACAAATGAGTCGAATGAAGGTGTTTCAGGCAGGGGGGAGGTTTGTGGGAGAGAAACTCCCTCTGGAGGGATTACGGGGAATTTAGCCTTTGCAGACCGTTTACGTAAAAAAAAAACCTATAGAACAACAGGAAGGGGACATCTCCAAAAGGCAGAATAGGCCTCTTTAATCTGTATTAGAACGTCTAAATCTCATTCACATACATGGTAAACAAATCAAACGTACCTTAAAGAGGGAGTAATCACAGCCTGACATGAGGTTGCTTGACAACTGGATATGGTTGTAGAGACTGAAATAAAGAAAGCGCAGCATTAACAAAACGGTATTTCCAACACAGAATACAGGCGTGTGGCTTAGTGGGTAGAGCGTTGGTGTTCGGATCAGGGGGGGCACAGGTTCAAACCCCACTGCAGTCAGCATGTCGTTGTGTCCCAGGGCAAGACACTTCACCCCAAATTGCTCCTGTGATTGTCCACAGTATTGAGTATGTAAGTCACTTTGGATAAAAGCGTCTAACAAGGAACATGTCATGTAATGAAAGGAAAGGAGTATGGAGAGATGTATTGCCGCTTACGCCCAGAAATCTTCAACTGTGTCGAACTTGGAGATGAGCCGCAGGTTGGCCTGCCATGTTTTGCTCTTGTCATTCTTGAAGAACCACAGGGACCAGCTGTTGAGGTGAAAACAGAAAATTAATTTGCATAATTGTAACAAGCCCCTCATTAAACACGAGGTAAACAAAAAGTAACCAAAAGCTTTTGATGCAACGTGTGACACAAACTGTTCTATAAATCATGTCATCACTGTCATGGTCAATTAATTGTGAACGCTTTGTCATATTGTCCGACGCTGAATCCTCTTATAGCTCAGCAAGTTCTTTATTTTGAGGAATGATAAAGCAAAATGTGGTTGAAGACACTATTATAAAAGCCATAAAAGCAGTTAGTCTAACACAGTCGAAAGCACAGTCCAAATAAAGGCAAGAAAATTAAATACTGATACAAATGTAATTCTCTTGAGTGGCATTGTATGAGTACAACAGAACATTAGTTGGGCACATATGACTTAGTTTATGATATTTGTGTATTATTATTATTATTAGCTTATTTGACTGTTAAAATATTGAAATGTTTGATTATAGGTTATAATGTAAGGCAGCACATATTGTATAGTCCATTAGACGGAGCTTTACAGGGTTTCTCTTTGCATTCTAATGCGTGCTGGGATATCCTCATGCACAAATGACCCCATAAAGAAATAATAGGCAGAATTCATATATCCTAATGCTGTTTATCCTCACTCATTTCAATCATATAAAAAGGTCAACTTGGGGTTATAGTTGCCATTAGAATGCTACTGATGCATTTCAAACGGTCATACCTTTCCTTTGGCTGGCTTTCAAGTTGAGCTTGTTTTTTCTATTTGACCCTTTTTGGACTTAAATATCCCAGTGGAATTTAAATATTTATAAAATATTCAATTGTTGCTTATTTGTATTCAACACAGGAGGGACTCTGAATGTTTCGGAGTAAGGATGGAGAAGAAAACATTGAAAAACTCTAGACAGGTCACCAGACCATCACAGACAATCTAAGTCTAACTGTGACCGGGAAATAAAGTCTGGTAACACCCACAGGAACTGTAGGCACGACATTATAATCATTAAATGGCATATTTATACATAATAAGTAGCTAAAATCAAATGAAAACGTAAGAAATTATCAAAATGTAATTAGTCTTATATATTTATTTTCATATAACTTTACTTATACATTTGAAAACTGATTTTTGCTCGTGTTTATTCAACAATATTTAGCCAGTGCCCTGCACAGACAATACTAAGACTAGATTAAGTTGTGTGGAAGACATATCAAACCGTTTTAACTATAATTAGAGATCCTTACATCACATTTTTTCCCTTGAATTTCATTTATACATTCAGTTTTTCAGCTTGACATTGATCTAGTTTCCATGTATTCACATTTGGAAGCAGCCCATTTAAACCAGTAGGTAAACAGATAAGTGGTGTACCTGATCAGGGCCAATATACAGCTCTGTACAAAATGAAGAGACCACTGCAGATTATCAGTTTCTCTGGTTTTGCTATTTATAGGTATGTGTTTGAGTACAATTATTTTTGTATTCTATAAACTACTGACAACATTTATCTGTGATGGAATTCAACTAACATTGGAATGGAATGGCTGCCATATATGAAGAGATTGAGGTTTAATTTTTTTTGGAGTGGTCTCTTTTTTCCAGAGCTCTATGCTAATTCTCCATTTTGCCTAATAAGTGAAAGTCCAAACAAATATCAAATGTTTATTTAAATTACATTCTGACCTACATTTTCAATCAAAACCCTGTACATATACCAACGTTTTACAGACAAAACATTAATATTGTATTCACAGTTAATCAGTCAAATATTTCATTGATTAACCAACAGTTTTTACATCAAAAAACGTGTGAAAAATTCCCATGACAAGTCCTGAAAGCCCACTGTGATGTCTTTAAACATTGACAGTTCTTAGCCGATAAAATATTTAATTTACAATTATAAAATGTTGAGAGAAGCAGCAAATATCTAGATGTTTTTGCTTGGTTTTAATACAAAACAGAATTACATATTGCTGTTGTTTCCGCTTGCTCTGTAGCACTCACACAAGTTGATTCTTTGATGTCACAAAGTTATTACCAGTGTATTTGTTCAGGGAGTTCTTATTTGACATTACACCCTCCATAACTTAATACGTGTGTGTCTATCTCATTTTAAATGCAGAGCAAACCTGTTCTGGAGGGGGTGTTTGATGTAGGATTCTGGGTTCACTAGCTCCTGTCCCGTCTCCTCAACTCCATCTTCATCAGCATGGGGTGCAATAGGGTTGATTTCCTAAATAAAAAGAATGGTAAAGGTGAAATGCATGGGAAGTGGCCTAGGCATTTTGATTTATATTCTCGTAGCAAATGACCACACAGTATGTTAAACTGGAGAGACACTCCTGTAACAGTCACATGTAACTACTCTTTTCCCAGTTATCAAGGCAGGGTAACTAAATGCTGTTACACGTAAATACAAGTCAACATTTTAAAAGAGCAAACTAAATAAAACAATATTGTTGTTTTTTTAGGCTGGGGTTTTGACCTCATAGGGATTGGCAGTCTTCTGAATACATTTTAAATATGGTTAAAAACATTTGTTTTAAAGCCGTGACATCAGCGTTTACTAGTGAAACCCGATATGAACATCTGTTACACATTTCACCGCTATGAGAAGCTAGTTTGGCTAACTAAAGTGGACTCTACAGCTAACATTGCACACTTTTGGTGGCAACTAACTCCAAAAAGTGTTAATATAATTTTTTTTACGATTGTATTCAGTCCGAATATGTTTGTTTGATAAACGAAAAGAACACAACGCAATTCCCATTCATATAACACTACTCATCTGCCATGTTAAGTTTCGCTAACGTTACTTGCTTACTTTGTACAAAAGTTCCGCTATGGCATGACCTTACAAGCAACCATCTGGACACAGTCTTGAATTCGGCTTGCAGTTGGTTTACCACATGTTTTATATCAATAAGAAAAACACTTTTGAAACTACCACTCTAGCTTTCCATCATTTAACATTAGCCAAGTCAACATTAACCTCAACCACCAAAGTGACAACGCTGCATAGTAGAGGTCAGCATCGAGCCCTGTCAACCAAGTTTGACAGCTTACATTTTAGCTGCAAACATCCTATTGTAACTTGAAATGTGGCTTATATTACACGCCGAATTAACTGATATCTACTAATTATTATAACTGTTTAGAATTATATTGACTTAGGTATGTACTTGTATGCAGATAACCTAGGTAATAGCAAACTCATTCATAAATGAAACGCGGTTTGGCTCTCCTCTCTAACTTGAACGGCACGTCGGTTAGCTGTAACGTCAGCCTTAAAGTAGGGAGATCTCCACACACAAGCGTTCGTCTTATACGCTCATGGCACAGAAGACAAACTTGAAAAACTAGTCCTAACAGCACGTGTCATTGTAACAACTATCAATATACTTTTGGAAACTAATGTTTAAAGTTATACATAAACTTTAACTGTAATTTCGCCCTGTTATAGCGGCCAGAAGCCCCCGAAACGTTTTGATATGTTCTTTAGAGAAAGTGCTCACCGGTTCGGCGGTCGCCATCTTACAAATCTCTGTTGGAAAAGTTTCTGTCTCATTGGACCGGGCAGATCAACGTGACGGCCCTCCGCGGACATGCGCTGTGTGCCGGCGCTGTCTGGATGCTTTTCCGCGACTCCACCCCTCCTGCAGACGAAGGCATGGCGAGCACCGAAGCTAGAAGGGAGTGTGAGACTGAGGGCTGCAGCGAGGACGCCAAACTCCAGTGTCCCACATGTATCAAGCTCGGTATTCCAGGTTCCTATTTCTGTTCACAGGTACTACTGCTTTTTCGAATTGTCCGGTTTAAACGTCCGCTGTAGCGTCTCAACGAGGCCCTCTGTGTCATCACGAGGCTGCTAACTGTCAAGCTACGTACACATGGTGCTTCGTTAACCGCTAATAACGTATTTGTTATACGTTGTGGTTTCCCCTTTGGCTGTGAAATACTAAACAAATGGCAGTATACATACAGTCATTGATTGTAATTGATGCTTAAGTCATACGTTAACTGTAGGCCGAGGGAGCTAGCTAACTATTGGCTGATTAGCTAGTGAGCTAAAATAAAAAACGTTTATTGGGGTCTTTTTTTTGCTGACAGGGCGAACTGTATTGAATACTTTATTGTGCGTAGTTATTTAACATGTATAGTTATCATCTAGCAATAAACTGCAAGAAATGACAAGTGACACAGAGTTAATGTCGCGTATCAGAGCAGTCAGTGTCACGATGTTTGACCCTCACCCTGGTACTTGTCCCCCCAGACCAAACCCCATTCACAATTCTGTCAATTTAAAGATGGGTTTCTTTATCCAGACTTTATACTCTGCTGATACCCTAAATGGCTTAACAGAAGCTACTTTACACTTCCGTTGGATCTGTTCAGCTGAGCAGGATTTTGTCTAAGCAGTACGAGCACTTAAACTACTGTCAGATCTCATTTGTCTACAGTTGTACAAGCAGACTTGTAACAAATCACATTTATATCATATCATACAGATGCTTGATTCCTTTCTTATTTTTGCTGATCCTACATTGGACATGTCTGTCAATAAAGCGTTAAACGTTAATATACAGCAATTGCTCTGTCTGCAGAAGTGTTCTGCAATGTTCTATTAGTCAAAAGCTTTATAAATAGTAAGGTTGGGGGGGGGGGGGGCAGTTATGCCATGGTATGTGACCATAGAGCTTTAGCTTGGATTGCATTTTTGTCTGCAACTTGACCATGCTATATATATATATTTTTTTTCTGTCTCTATCTGCTGTCCAATTAAAACACCAATGGATCTAGCAATACATGTTAAGGTGCTCATGTACGTTTGTAAAGTTCTTTGGGCACTTTCTAGAGTGCAATATCTGTCACAAAATGCAACCAACGTTTTTGTTGATGTTGAATTGGTTTTGCATACTGTATCAGCTTTTTTACATCCCCATTTAAAGTTTCATCTGTGTTTCTATTCCCAGGAATGTTTCAAAGGGAGCTGGGTGTCTCACAAGTCGCTGCATAAAAAAGCAAGTAAGTACTACAGATCATTGTCTTTTCTGTACTGTGACTTAATCTCCCTCGTACTTAGTTGAGGTTTTTAAAAACAGTTGAACATTGTAGCATATACATATACATTCATATTACTGTGAACTAACACAATGGTGCCAGATGCTTGAGATACCTTCTCCTGTGTTTTGTTAGAGGACGACAAGAACCAGAATGATTCGAAGAACTGTGTGGAGAATGACATCAACACAGACCCATGGCCAGGCTACCGCTACACAGGAATACTACACCCTCACTACCCACTGGTAAGTTGCCGTTTAAAAAAAAAAACGTATTTATTTTGCGTCTTTTGCCATGTATGTTTCCTTAAA